CCACCGCCGCCTCCAACCCGTGGTGGTGGCACCCTCAGCAGCACCAGCAGCAGCAGCAGAGAGCAGCAGCAGCCACCGTTGGACATTTCCAGATCATTCTCTTCCTCAGCAACAGGCAGAGAAACCACAGTTTTAAGAGGAAACTGCTCAGTAATCCTCGCAGTGATGATGTGAGTGCTGTTACTGCTGCTGCTGCTGCTGCTGCTGCTGCTGTTGCTGCTGCGGTTGTTGCTGGGGCTGGTGTTGGTGTCAATGTTGACATCATGTTGTGTCGTGTTCAGTGTTGTTTAATGACAGCATTAAACAAAACAGTCATTATGACTGTGTGTTTCTAATGAGGTGTTTTTTTCAAACATCTCTTTATGACACAGACATCAAAACATGTCGATTTCAAAATCTTTCCTTTTGTGGGTGGAGGAACCACCTTCCACAGACCGCGGTTGTTTAACAACCTCGTTCATAACCTGTGTCAAGTCATCACTGTATCATAAAACAGGCATTTTAACGTGTAGTAAAGACCAGAGTTGGAGCCTAGTGACGTCACGTGTCACGTGAAGGCTGTAGATTCTTAATCTTTTTAGATAAAAGTGACCATGAGAGGTGACCGTTGTCCAGACTGTTGTCCAGGCAATGACTGCAATTCCTGCTAATTGAGGATTTCTAAAGATGAAAATTCATCATAATGAATGAAATTGTGAAAAAGGTAAAAATAAAAAAAATGTCTGACCTTTGATTTTAAAGACATTACAGGATGAAAAGACAACGTTTGTATGTTTTCTGGTGAAGCTCATGTTGCGGTGCACTTGTTAGGATATTGTAAGAAAAAGCTGCATTTATTTTTATTGTTAAAGTTTTTTCCTTTTTCCTGTCACATTTATTTTTATTGTTAAAGTTTTTTTCTTTTTCCTGTTGGGCTGCTGTAACAACATTTATGGTGGATTATATATATTTTTTTTAAATAGCATCATGTATGGCTCTGTAACAGCAGATGTTGAGGTGAAAACCCAAAGTTCTCTATAGGAATACACTGTGGCTGTGCGCTGTCCATGGTGCTGAACACAACAGCAGTGACTGTAAACTGTGCGGCGCTATGAACTTAGACATCCTTACCTTCATGGATGTGAACACAGTCCTGTAAACACATGTATTTGTCACCTCTCCACATGTTGGTGCTTCAAGCAGAAAAGGATATGGCCACTCGGTGATTTTCTTGGCGTATTTCCTGACAATGTTGTCCTCACCGAAGATGAAGAGGGACCTGTTGACGGTGAAGCAGTTCTCTCGGACCGGGATGGGGTTGTACAAGGCCATGGTGCGGGCACGCTGCGCTTTGGTCTGCTTGAAGGCTGGGGAGATGCCACCTGTGGACACGGCCGCTCCATCGCGGTTTCTGTTGCGCTCGGAGCCTCCGTCCCCCGAGCTCAACAGGGCCGGGACGTCGTCTCCGAACCGGGCCATCCTGTCAACAGGAAGCCACACGGGACGAGACAGTGAGACAGTGAGACAGCGAGACAGAGAGACAGAGACGGGGAGAAGAGGTTATAGTCTCCCGGAGAGCAGGGCGCGGTGTGCAGCGAGATCCAGAGCAGTTCTCTTCAATCAAATACAAACTCTTTAGTCCTTAAACTTCAAACGCCTTCAGTCACAACAGCAGCTCCAGTCGACAGCAGCGCAGACAAACCTCACCAGAATGTGTATGTGGGAACAAATGGGTAAAAAAAAAAGAAAAAAAAAAGTCTTTGAACTCAACAATCCTTAAACAGAAGTTTGGAACACGGTTTGATCGCAGCGTTTTATCCGCTCTGCCGCGAAAAGACGCCAAAAAGAGGAGCTGCAACAGGTCACATCCTCAACCATCCTCAGTCCTCGGTGCACAGAGCAGACGAGCACCGTGATCCATGGCTTTTTAAATAAACTAGAAGCAGCGCGCTGACTATTTTAGAGCGCATCAATCCAGCTCCCTGTCTCCTCTCCTCTCCTCTCCTCTCCTCTCCTGTCCACCTAACACCACATCTCTATCCTCTCTCCTTAAATAGCACGACAAAAACTTTGTCGATTTCCACATTTCCCCACCAAAAAAAAAAAAAAAAAAAAACCCCCCAAAAAAAACGCGCTATTTTTTTAACAAACGCTAATCCTGCAGCGTCTCCTCTGCAGCGGGATAGTGGAGGAACAACGTCTCTCTCCTCTGGAGGAGGGACAACACGACGGGATCAACACACCTCCAAACCCGTGTCCAACCCTCTGCATACACACTGAACCCTGCGCTGACAGACAACAGGGCTGTGACCAAGTCAGGCCACTGACTTCAGAGCAGCTGAGCCACGAGGTAACACTCACACAGGAAAATCATTATCATTCACATGCTGACAGTGGCGGGGGAAGGGGGGGGGGGGGGGGGGGGGGGCTTACAAAATTAAAAGGTCAACGCCGACTCGACCTCTGCTTGCTGAGTAAGTTTGTAAATAGGACGGATAACGCTGACTCGACCTCTGCTCGCTGAGTAAGTTTGTAAATAGGACGGATTTGAATCAACATTCTGAAAACCCAGTGACTGAAGTCCAGCTGTGGATTTCCTGTTTCTGTGACACGTGACGGTCGCTGTGGTTCAGCGTGCTCGGTCACACCCCACGGTGAAGTATAAGTGAATGCTGGTCACGTTTCAGCTGTGGAGTGGAGTAAACACACACACCTGTTGAGGAATAAAAGCCCGGAGAGAGAATGAAGAGCAGAGAGCGTCTGTGCATAATCACAGGGTTTAGAACCTGCTATTGTCAGGACATGATAGTGAGGGGGAGTCATGATGCTGCTGCTGCTGCTGCTGCTAACACTGCTGCTGCTGCTGCTGCTGCTGCTGCTGCTGCTGCTGCCTGACTGGAAGTGATCCTATCTCAGAGGATGTGGGTTTCTACAGTCAGCGTGAACGACAGTGATTAATGCATGAGCTCAGATTTTATTTTAATCACAACTGCTGTTCTTACAGTAAGACAAAAAAAAAAAACTAAGCCTTTCACCATGTCTTTGGCAGATGAAATCAAAGTTAGAAATTTTCCTGATTTTTCAAATTTTCATAGATCTGTGTAAAGAGGAAAAGAAATGAGGAAATCTGATCAATTATAACAAAGGCTTTGGTAAAGTTTCTGTTTCTCCTTCACTTGTTAGTCGTGTTTTTATTTGAAATGACCTTCTCCAGTGTGAGACATGTAATTGGTTGGTACATTGATACAAATATAAACCTAAAAATACGTAATAATCAAGTTAAAAAAAACGTGAAAACTGGAGAGGAGAACCCTGGGAGATGAACTGAGGCTGACAGTGATGGGTATTTAGTGACGGTGCTGTAACGGAGGCCGTGTTTAATGGCGTACGACCTCCGACTCATTAGCGCTCCAACACATCACAGACGTAAAAATAGAACAACCACAATGTTCACTTCAGCATCTGTTGTCTTCTCCTCACGGGGGCGAAGAGGAAACGTGTGACTTCAGACTCAGATGTGACGGTGTGGCAGCAGCAGACACACGGTTTGTATTTTAGAAATAAAACAAGTGACGGCCTTAAAAAAAAAACCCCATGACCCTGGAAAAAAAAAGACAAAACCTTATCGTAAATAAACCCTTTTGAAAACGTGCAAAATCCATACAGAGCTGGAGCAGGATTTGAACTGGCTGTGAAGGTAACACCTTCTAACCGCATTGGCCACAGTGTGGCCATGATTTAAGAGCTAATTAGAAAATCTAATTGGAAAAAAAAGAGAGATAGAGAGATGATGAATATTATTTTTAATTGATTCCAGGAACGTCAGTGCTGCCCTGTTACTGAAGGAACCTCCCAGGAATGTCAGTGCTGCCCTGTTACTGAAGGAACAGTAGTATCTGAAACGTTATGGACTTTAAGTTCTTACCTGGACCCTGGAGGAACCGTGTTTATGACACGGCCCAGCTTATATAACACAGTTACACAAGGTAAAGGCTGCTGAAGGACCGGCATCTAATTTGACACCGAAGACATGATGTAAATGTTGAAAAACCTCCTCCTAACTGTAAAAGTCGTCTACCTTGCAAAAATCCAAACCCAAGGAAAGTCGGGGTTGCTGTTAGCTCCTGTCAGCAGGCTGACAGCTTCTGCTCTGGTAATGGGCCTTAGCGGCAGAGGACACAGGTAGGAACAAAGATTTCAACTCAAAAATAGAACAAGTAAATGGTGATGTACCTGCTGGGGTTGGTGTTTGAAACCCGCTCATTATTATTCACTTTCCTTCACAGCGCTGTGTCTAAATGAAGAGACGACGCTGGGAGACGAACTCACCGCGTTAAAAGGTCCGAGGGTTAATTCAGAACACGCTCAGCTTCACTGGTGTGGAACAATAAAGGACATTATTCAGAGCAAACCTCACCAACATTCAGCTGTGTTGAACTGACAGCTCATTCACCACCCGTTACAGCCTGTGGGCTTTCATAACAACATGGAGACACGGACCATCCTTTTCAGATTTTTTTTTCTTTTAAATCTATTTTAGATCTTTTGAGAAAAACCCAAACCAACAGTGATATTTACAGTGATTTATAAAAGGCTGCGTTAATAAGAGCTGTGGAGCTCAGAGTTTGGATCTCTGCTAAATATATCACGACCAGAAACGCTGTGACAAGTTTCACTTCGTGGCCTGTCATTTGGCAGCTGACAGCGACGCCACCGACACTGTGCACTGTGAAAAAAAAAAAAATGGAGGAGTGAGAGGCGCTGAACCTGCTTCTGTTATATTGTCTTTTACCACTTGTTCAACTTGTTCTGAACCATTAAAATTAAATGCAAATCAACTATTTTTTTCACTAAACAGGTGTTGGTAAAAATCACTCTAACTTTCGTATCTGAAGACCTTTTTAAGATGAAGTAAAATCTGTTTGGGAAAAAATGTAGAAAGCTGAATTTGACCATGGGCTGCAGCGGGGCCCCGAGCCTGGAGTTTGGACATCCCTGCAATCAGGATCCTTGGAGCCTAGGCTCAGCAGGATGAAGCTCTGAATATTTTAGAGTTAAGGCTACTGTGTTATTCACCTGCCTCTCAAACATGTAGGAGGAACGTTCCAAAAATCTCCATAAACTTGTTTTATTTACATGACTTCAACCTTTATTTTCACGACCACTGTTTTATTCTGTGTAGGATTCCTGATATTTGGTTGTTGTGTTAAAAATAACTGATCAACGCTAAAGTAAATGTCAGCTCTGGCCGTAACAAAGAGGAGGTTATTGACTCAGTGATGTCAGACACACAGACGTCAGAAGGAATCTGTGTGTCTGTGTCTGTGTCTGTGGATAACAGACGACGTGTCAACACATTTTCATCAGTGTGGGAAACACCGTCCCCGTCATGGGAGGGACTTTAATTATGCAGGAATTAAAGAGTAAAAATATTCATGTTCGATTCATCACTTCGACCTGTAGAAACGGTATTTCATTCAGGTTACGATCTGGTTTTTTTGGACTGAAACTAAAACAAACATTGTACATCACTGAGATGGTTTCTGGAAAACTTCCAAACGTCCAACAAACTTTACCTTTTAGAACAAGGTGATACTTTCTTGGCTGCCGTTGCCACAATAGTTTCTATAGCAACTAACTGGAGGGAGTATATGGTCTGTGCATACTGACAAGGATGAGCATCACAGCAGTGAGTTACTGCAACAAGTAAGAAGAAAAACAGGGAGAAGAAGAGGAGAGTCAGGATGGTGGGAAAGAATGAAAAAAAATATTAACGATGACAAACAGGGGGCAGTAGATCAGGGATTAACAGTCGACTGTTTGATTTTCTAACAGTTTTAACTCAGCATCTCAACTCTCTCTTCGTCATTGGACGTCAAGAAAGAAGAAAGAATGATTTTTATTTTTATTTTTTTCTTCCATGTTTACCTTTAGACGCCTATTTCGGAGCAATGAAATCAAATGTATATATTTTTTCCTTGTGGAGAACAGTTCACACGCCCTGTCAGCACAGCTGATGCCGCCCACAGAGTGTGTGACAAAACAAATGAACATGAGTGAAAACAGAACGGCTCTGCCAAAAGGAAATGGAAATATTGTGAAGCAGGTGAAATGCCTGAGGAGCAGAGCCGGAGACGAGCGTGTGGTTCAAGCTGCGGCTCCAACTTCATTAGGACAAAAACTACAGATGATGGAGGATAAAAAAAATAAAAATAAAACATCTGTTATCATGTTGAGTAGCTTGAACCCAACCATACACCCAGGGCCATTTTGTCATCAACCAGATTTGGACGTGACACAGAAAAGCCTGATGCAAACACGGGAGGACGGACGGAGACGACGGAGACGACAGAGACGACCACGGTAGAGCTATTGATGTGGCGAGATGAAGGGGCCAGGAAATTGGACTATATTTAGCTTCATTGAGATGGTAATGGTTGGAACATGAGAGCACCACGGTGTGTGTGTGTGTGTGTGTGTGTGTGTGTGTGAGCGTGCATGTGTGTGTCATATAGACGACATAACGGTTTAGCCGCTGCTTGAATTGCAGGGCGTCACTTTGACAGAAGTGTTTTGATCCTAAAAAAAAAAAAAAAACAGAAGAAGAAGAAGAAGAAAGAATCGCCACACAGGGGAATGGGAGCGACTGTCGTCGTTCGCTGGCCTTGATCGGTGCCTGAAGGAAATAAAATGAAACACGTGCACCCTCTGGCACAGTTTCTCCGTCTCCCTTTTTCTCAACCTCCACTATCTCTCCACCTGTCTCACCCTCTCTCCCCCGTCTCTCTCTCTCTCCCTCCCCCGGCCCAACCCAGATTCTGCCTTACAGTGTTGTCTTCCTCCGACTTGTTACCTAGCAACTGAACTGACATGGCCCCTATTCTCAGCCCAGTGAATCTGCCTCTGTAACCCCAGAGTTTATGGAATAGCCCATATAGATGATCGTCCCCCGGGGGGGGGGGCAGACGGGGGGGGGGGGGGGGCTTATGGGGGGGGGGTTGGGGGGTATGCTTTTCACCATACTGCAAGTTCAGACAAGTGAAAGCAACAAGTGGGCTCCAAAAGATCAGACAGTTTTTTAAAGAG